GGCGAAGGTTCCCATCCCTGTCTTCGTCGGCGTCGTCGTCGACTTCCCTCGCCGCCCTTCCCCCCTCCTCGACGTCGCCCTCGCCGCGGCCCCGAGGCGCCCACTGGCGAGGCGGGGGGAGGGGGGGGGGGGGTCGACGACGACTTGCAAATCTTGTCCCACCAGCCCTCTGGGCGTCGGTGGTTTAGAGAGTGTCCTCGTCCACCCATCCTTGTTCCCCTTCGGGGAGGGGTTTACCCCTCCCCCTGCCCCCTCCCCTGGACCTGGGCGGGGGGGCCCGCGAGCCGTCGGAGCGTCCAAAACGGCCTCGGCGAGGACGCCACAATCATTTGGTTTACTGTGGTTTTGGCACCATTTTGGCATCCTGAGGGGGGGGGGCTGTAATTAGTACCCCCCTCCTGCGATCGATCACACCCAAGATGGCCCACAGATGACACCTAAGGCACCCAAAGGTGCCCCAAGAGGGCCCCAAGAGGTGGCCAGGACGCCCCAAGCGGCCCTCAGGATGCCCTCAAGAGGCTCCCAAGAGACCGCCAAGAGGCCCCAAAAGACCACCCAGATGCACCCAAGATGCTCCAAGAGGCCTCGGCGAGAATGTCCAATCATTGATTGTACTAAGGTTTTGGCCACATGTTGGCCTCTTGGGGGGGCGCTGGTTAAGATGACCCCAAGAGCGCCTGGGGGGGGGCCACGATGACCTCCAAGATGGCTCAAGATATCCAAAGATGCCTCATAATGGCTTCTTCTGTGTGCTGCCCACTTCCCTGATCGAGGCAATTCCTCTGGGCATCGTTTCTGGATGGGCTGGTGGGGAGCCGCGAAGCGTCAACAATTTGGTCATTGTTCAAGTCGTCAGCGTCGGCGCCCCCCAGTCAGAAGGTTTCGCACTACGACGTCGCGAGGGTTCTCTGCGCGCTCGAGGCAGTGTGCAGGCGCGAGCTGAAGCAGAAGGGCATCGTGATCATCCCAGGGATCGCGAAGATCTCGGCCAAGCGCGTGGAGGCGTCCCAGACGAAGATGATCAAGGATTGCAATTTATATGTTCTATTCTAGTCTACTGTACCCCTGTATGCTCATTGCTCCGCTGTGCTCTACCCTTGCGAGTCCAATGTTACCCTGTTCGGGCGAGTTATGTTATGTTCCGTGTGCTGATATTCCCCTCTCTCTTATTATCCCTTGCTCCGTGCTCAATTCCCACCGGGGAATGTCACGTCTAGCAACGGGAAGACACATGCAATTTCTGGCCCTGGGGCCCCTTAGTTTACTTTAGTTATTTCAGCGTCGGTCTCCTCTGCTCCTATATGCTCTACTCTATTGTCCGTTTTACAAGCCTCCTATACGACGTCCCTATCTAATATATTATGCTCGACCTAGCTCAAGAACAAAGACGTCACGATCCACGCGAAGCCAGCCCATCTCCTCACCAAGGCTGTCACCATCGCCGAGCTCAAGCGCATCCCCCTGCATGGCCAACCAGCGGCCGTCGTGGAGCAAGGGAGCGACTCTGAGGAGTACAGCTCGGACTAGCAGGGCGTAGGAAGTGAGTTTCGGTGCGATCAGCTGGTTGAGATGGGTTGGATGGTGTCAACTTTCAGGCTATCGACGTGAGTTCCCTGGTTTATGGTATCCACCGTGTGGTGCGAAGTTTAACGGTTCCTGGTTTGGTTTCAATCGTTTCGCCATCTCAATCGGCTGCTCGACTGGCCAGCGATCAGGCTGGGCTCGGCGAGAGTTCGGAGGGCGCCGTCCAGGAGGGGGCGATTGCCGACGCGGGAGGGGGGTGGCGGAGGGTGAAGGAGGATGAGGAGGGGGGCGGAGGAGCGACATGAGTAGCACGATCAATGGGGGGTGAATCGCAAGTTAAAGAACGAGGAGGATCCCGCGGGCTTGGTCGGGGCCCTCCTCGAACTCCTGCGAGTGTAGTTGTGTCTCTGCGAGCCGCAGCTGAGCAGTGTTATCTGGCGGCGAGAGCGCCTGAGCGACGAAGAACGACCGCCTCTGTCGCTCCCCTGGCCCTCTTCCTCGAGAACCCCGCTTAAACGTACAACTCAACAACGTCCGTCCTAGAACGGGGGCGAAGGAGTCATCGCACGCGGGGCCAGGGCCCCAAGAAATGCATCGGTCCCTTAAGTCTGGCGCCCACATTCCTGGGGGGGCGCGATGGCTTGAACAACTGCGTGGAAAATCTGATGCAAGGCTGATGTGTTAAGGGGGTTGTAGGTGGGTAGCTTGCGGGGGTTAGCCTAGCGTCGGCAGCGTCGAACACGTGTCTAGCAATGTTTAGCTGTGTCCCCAGAGGGCTGTGGGCGCCGAGGCTTTGGGGCTGGTGGGTGACACCATTTTCAGTCGGTTCGGCGGCTTTGAAAAACGCGCAACAGACGGATATGAAGTTTGCTGTTTGTGCCTTCTTCCCCCGTCGGTTCGGCGGCGTTGAAACCAGAAGCATACTCAGTGCGACAGGTCTGCTGCTCTACATGGTCATCGAGAGGCTGTCCTCAGCGAAGACCCCCACCCCGAGCTATGACGGCTGCTTGCTGCGTGGTTGGGGGGGGGGGGCTTGAAATTTATGGAGCGCCTCCTAGAGGTCCATCTTAGGCCCCCTAAGCAGGCTCCGAGAGAGCCCCCATAGGACCCCACGACAGGGCCAGGATGCGTCCACAATGTGCTGCAGAAATGCCACCCCCTAGGAGTGCACAGACCCCCCCCTGGGGGGGAGTCCACGAACCCCTGTTGGACTCCCCCATGGGGGGTCCGTGGACTTCTCTGGGGGCATGTAATCTGTCGCAAGCACTACCCTTTAACGCGGCAAGTTGTCAAGACCCCCACCCAAGCCCCAACGCATCGCGGGCCCAGAACCCTTTGGGGGCTGCAACTGCCCCCCGCTCGGTCGACGCCCATGGCGAAGCGACCGAACACGGGGGAAAAGGGGGGAGGTGGAAATCGGAATGGGGCCTGTTAGGAAACGGCTACGGCAACAAACGGGGTAAGGGGGGGATAGCTCCACCGAGGCCTAATAACCACGACCTCCCCGTGCCCCTACAGTTGTCTTCTGCGATCGTCCCCATTGGTGCACGAGGCATTCTCCATGCCTGTATGGGCCTTCTTCAGGCCACGCAGCAAGCAGCCTGCTACGGGGCCCCAGCCATGTCTTGAGTAATGTCTGTTCTGCCTGAAGGAAGTCCAAGCGTGATGCATGTTGAGTCCTGCTGTGTGTTCGGGGGCGGTGTCCAGCTGCGACGACTGGGAGGCCCGTCATCTCTCGCCCTTGGTGTCAGAGGTCCATTCTAGATCAGGGCTCCGTTCGAATGCCATTGCATTGTTGGATCAGAGCTGCCCTCAGCAGCAGTGTACTGTTTTTGTTTTTTTGTTCGCTGCCACTTCACAGCTGTCTTCCTTGGCAGCATCCGAGCTGCCGATGTCTGGGGGAGGCAGCGGCGGCCTGTCCGTGGCAGCTGCCTCTTCCAAGGCGGCCAGGAAGCGCTCTGCACCTGCTGCCAGCAGCGGCGGCGCTGGCGACTTCGACGCTCCGCCGCCCGCGGTGAACCCCAAGAAGAAGCGCATGATGGGCGACGGCTGCAAGTGCGGGCTGTGCCATGCGAAAGCCAAGGATTGTTGGGATGAAGCAAGTCGCCGCATGCCCTTCAAACCTAGCCCAAAAGCACGGTGCCCCTGGTTGGGGCGTGGTTTCACTTTTTGTCTGAGTGTTATTCGCTGGTCAGGCCGCCGCGGTGGGCTGCAATGCCTACGTAGGGGTGGTCGGTGAGAGCTTTTGTTAGGAAGGTGTGCCTCCAAGGGCACTCAGGAAGACAGGTTATATGTTGCGCCTGCTGCCACTTGCCCCCCCAGCAGGACAAGAAGTGGGCCCGCTACAAGACGTCCCCAGGCGGCTCCCAGGTGCCGCTCGACGATGGCTGCCAGGAGTGCTTCGAGTTGTGGGACCTCGCCTTCGCGCACTGGACGTGGCAGGAGTTGTGTGAGCAGAACGCCAGCGTCAAGGATGTGCAGGCCGCTGTCTCGCAGGCTCGGACTCTCAGGGAGTCTGGCGGCGCGCCTCGCGATCGCGCGTCTGTGACCTCCGAGGTGACATGCAGGCTGAGGGTGACGAGGGCCTTCGTCTGCGCCAACGACAAGGAGCTCAGGCAGGCCGCGAAGCAGAAGAAGCAGCTGCCGAAGTCGTCGACGAGCCACCTCCCGACAGTCAAGGTGCCGTCGGAGCAGGACCCATCCAAGGACGAAACAGTGATGTGCTTCAGGGACGAGTCTCGGCCATTCCGGAGCCTGGAAATCATCCTCGAGACGAATGTCGGCAAGGAAGTCGCCCACATGTCAGCCGCCAACAATCTGTGGAGCAACCAGGCCAATAGTTACCTCGCCCACTTCCACGGCAAGACGATCGACGACGTCGGCACGCGCCAGCTTCTATTGAAAGACGAGAACATGCACACTCAGACCGTGGAGGAGTTCTTGGACAAATTCAACAAGGAGAAGAACGGAGTCAGGCCCGATGCTGGACTACATGGCGACAGAGGGGGGGGCGGCCAACCTGGGGCAGGCGAGTGTCAATCAGATGATGATGTCTTCAGTGATGGCGCCGCGGCGGCGGCCGCGGTCTCAGGCTGTAGCTCTCTTGGCGGAAGTTGCCCTGGCATGTATGCTACGCCGACTAAGGCTGGCCCTCTCGCGTCCGTTCGCTCCTCTGCAGGGACTCCAGGAAGTGCCGACGCAGACGGAGACTCCGATGATGGCGCTCGCAGCGTTGCCGCATCGCGACTGAGCCATGCAAGCGGCCTGACCAGAGGCAGCTTGGCTCCAGGATCTGGCGAGACTGCAGGACTCATTCGGGTCTTGTTTCAAATGTGTATGGCCTTTCGTCGGGTTCTGAACGTTTGCGGCCTATCCTCGTTGCCACCGTGAGCTGGGAATGTGCTGTATTGGGGGAGGGGGCCTGTCGCCTTTGGGGGTCGGCATGCGTCGGTTCGCCCTGGTCCCGAACTGGAACCATGCAGCGTTGGGCCTCGCACTCGTGGGAACAGCCCCTGCACGGTGGCCGTGCGGTGCTGCGCGGTGCCGAGCTCTCACGAGCGCGTTGGCAGAGTCTGCGTGCAAACCCGACCCCGCCAGGATGCCTCGAGAAGTGGAAGACCAAGCTCAACCTGGTTGCCATCATGACTGGCAAGCTGGATGGGCGCACCATGTCAGGGGCCAAGAAGGCGCTCGGGAGAATGAGGGCATCTTCCAACGAGCAGGCGAACCTGGACGCTGCGCTGATGGCGAATCTCATCAAGTTGGCGGAGTCTGCGGAGAAGTGCGCCCCTGAGTCCATCAAGGTCACGCCGATGAGCGAGCTCACGCCCCACATCGACAAGATGATGCAGGAGTCCGTGGAGTGGCCCGACGTCGTGCAGACCGCCCTGGTGACGAAGAGGCTGCAAGCCGTCATCGCCGAGAAGAACTGGAGCCTCGTGATCAAGATCTGCAAGCCGTGGGGCATGGGCGACGAGATGGCGTTCGACCCCAAGGCCCCTTGTGTGGCAGCGTGCGGAGAACAGATGTGCCACAAAATCCAGCTCTTCAACAAGGTCGTTTTCGAGAAAGTGTTCATCCAATTGATCCGCCAGGGGCCCGACACCGTGTCCGAGGTGATCAGCTTGGCGGCGCATTGCCGATATGCCTTTGCTGACATTGACCTCGTGGAGGCGGAGAACGCGGTTGCAGCGGCCTTGGAAGAGTGGAACACGATCTGGGGCTGTCTCGTAGCTCTGGGCTCGGACGGCCTCCGCGGGCAGCATTTGGACAGTGGCCTTAAAGTGTGCTTTGCGCACACACCGATTCGACACCCAACCGCCGCTAGCTACGCGTAGCCATTCGTTTCCTGGGCTACACGTGCGTATGTATGATGTTTAGTTTTTGCGTGTATATGTAGTGTCTACGGAGCTTGCGGCGTTTGGGTTGTCGGTGCCAAGGGCCGTTGACTGTTTTCCTCGGTGGGGGTCTCTTGGTCGAGGCCCACGGCGTGGTTGAGTAACGATGCCATGGCTTCGATGCACGGCTGCGCTCCCAAACCCTCCAGGACGACATGCTGTTGCTGAGTTCGCACATGGGCAAGACTTCGAGGACTGTGACTGCCTTGGTGGCTGCAGCAATTGAGGCCACTGACTGCTGGAACTCCAGGCTGCAGGGGTACGTCCGCTGCGCCAAGGATGTCAACAAGCTGGCGTCCCAGTACGACGACGTCGTCGCCGTCTTTGCCGCGCTGACCGATGACCCGGCGGAGTTCGTTCCGCGGGTGCAGGATGCAATCGCCAGGCTCGGCGAGTTCAAGGAGAAGCTGCCGCCTGCTGCCACTGCCAATCTGTTAGACACGGCGCTGGGAACCATCCTGGGCAAGAGCAAGGTCTTCATGGCCGCTTGTGCGACGCCCGACAATGTGAGCGAGAAGTTCATCCAGGATTGGCAGGCAGTACTCTCCGAAGCAGTCATCCTCTATCCCATGGCCGAGGAGTTGAACCAGACGATGATGTCCCTCGGTGCGAAGTTGCGGGACATGGGACTCGCCGTCAAGCTGGCCGAGCTGACCAAGCAGATGAAGGAGATGGCCAAGTCGGCCGCCGCTGGCCAGGAGACGGCGTGGTTGCGAGAGTTTAAGCTGACTGAGTGCAACGCCATGGTCAACGCCATTCGCGAGCTCAACGTCCCCCGCGACCATGCGATTGCCATCGCGGCGGTCGGCCTGGCCGACAATGTCGCAGAGTACGTGGCGATGGAGATCGGGAAGACCAACTTCGACAATGCCAAGCTCCGTGAACTTATCATTGCTGCAGAAGGGTTGACCACGCAGTGCGGCACGACCATCGACGGCGTGCAAGCCAAGGTGTCGATGATCAACAAGACTATCACGATCGACGGTCTGCTGCAGGAGTTGGCGGCCCACGGCTCTTGCATGGATGACAGGGCGACGGCGAACAACTTCGACCTGGTTGTGTCACTGGACAGGTGCACGAAGCAGCTCCACGAGCTCATCTCCGCCAGCGCCGATGCAGACCACCCCGCCGCTGCGAGTAAGATGCTTGACGACGCGACCAAGTTCCTGACTGAGCTGCACGGCGCCTACATCAAGAAGAGCAAGGCTGCCCTCGAGGTCAAGCTGAATGAAATCAAGCCGCTGAACGGCGGCATGGACAACGGGGAGTACTGGGTGGACGCGTTCAGAGGTGAGACCTGGGCTGAGTTCTCGGAGCACGCGTCCAAGACCGTGCTGAAGGCGGACCCCAATGCGCTGGTCGATGCGACGTCTGGATTGCAGCAGGCGGTGCCAATCGAATTGCGCAACGTTGATGGTGCCCCCATGTCGCCACCGCGCTCCCCAATGCAACGCGTTTTGGGTTGTTCAGTTTCTCGCGTCCTGGGTGTCCGCGGTCCGCTCTTCCTCGGGGGGCCGCTATCGCGGCGAATGCCCCCGCCTCTCGCCATCGCCCCACCCTTGCCCGCCCATCGTCGCCCCCAAGGCGTTTCGATCAGTGACAGGGGGCACCATCATCGATGCCACTCTCGGTTGGAATCCCTGAGACCCTGGATCTTTATGAGAAGTATTGCGACACTGCGATGGTCGAGAAAGAGGCTGTCGTCGTGGACGACGCCAAGCAGCAGATCTACGGAGCCCGCCGCATCAAGTTCCAGGGCGTCCTGATGTACCACTTCCGGAATGAGAAGCAGGCCGCGGGCCTGCGCACCAAGGTGCAGGGCGAGATCAGGGAGGTCCGCAAGTATGCAGGACTACCAGCAGCTCCTGCCCGCCCTCCTCGCCAAGATGGTGAAAGACGCCTTGGCCATGAGGGTCAAGCTCTGAGGAGGCGGTGGAGGAGGAATGTACGCAGGAGTGGGATGAGGATAGCAAGGACCCCCCCACCCCGTTTGGCCAACCACATGGTTCCCCGCCAACCGCCCCCCACCACCCCATCTCAGACCGCCCCCATCCAGAGCCCTCATCCTCCTCCTGGGGTCCAGCTCGCAGCCAGGCATTCGACCCGCTCGGACGGGCCAGCCTGCGAGACAGGAGAAAGTGTCAGAGCGTGAGGGGGAGTCGAGGCGGTGGGAAAGATAACACGGCGACCAATCATAACAACAAAAAACACGCAACCTAACCACTTTTTTCTCGGTATTCATCTACCTCATGTCATCGCCCCCTCGTCCTCCATTCGTGTCCTCATTCGCCTCCCTGTCTATCCTGATGATTGTCCTTGTCATCGTCCTTGTCTCAAGTTTCCCCATCGTATCCCTGACTCGCTTCGTCTTCCATCGGCCCCTTCCTCGTTATTCGAGCGACTGGTTCCATTCTGCCAACCACCATGGCAGCTCATGGGTTCGGCAAGGGTCGTGCCACGTTGCCTGGCCTGTGGGTCAGGAGCCTCGGGGGTGCATGCGAGGGTATCGTGGGATGCTTCTCGTGGGCCTCTTGGAGGGCTATCGCTGGCACCTGGATTGTTGTTGGAGGCTTCGCCATGGCACGACACGTAGCAGCACAACATACAAGAGCCATATTGGAGCCGTTAATCAACTCCTGCTCACATCCAGGCCCGATCAACCACAGGAGGCCAACCCAACCTCACCTCTTCCATATCACCAGCTGTCCCATGACAGGGGGCAGTTGATGATGTGGAAGATGAGTTAGGGCGCTAGGTCGCATCGTCTCCTCTCCTACTCTAGTTTACGTCGTCCTCTATCGCGCAATCTACGTAGCCCCCCTGGCGCGCCCGCTAAATCGTGCTTTCACCTGCTCAGCCGTGCAGCGCCGCGGTCCCCACCGCACTCTCATGATGGCTCGACCTGGCCCGCGCGTCATTGGGCTGTGCCCTGCCACGCTTCCTACCGCTCATTGTGTCATCGTGCATTTTCCTAATTGCCATGGCAACTCTCACTATGCTATCATACCCCGTGCGCCATTGCAACGCGCCGCCCAAAAGTTATCCCAGGGGGGCCTAACGCGGCCCAAGGGGGCCCCAAGAACGGCCCAACTGAAATACGAACTGCCATTTCAAGACCTTCCCGCCACGATGGCCCCAACAGCCACCCAAGGACCCCCTGGGCGCCCCGCGGAAGGTCCCAGAGGCTTCCAAAAGGCACCCAATCCAGAGGCTCCCAAAAGGCCCCCGAGAAACGATGGGTTTCTTCCTTCGGTGCTGCGCGGGCCGTTCCGATTGTTCGGTTCACGCGCGCGTGGCCCGTCGCATCCTGACGCTGCGCGGCGGGCCCCGTCGCGGACGATGTGATTGAGGCGTTCGCTCGAAGCCCACATTCCATGAGAGGCCCCCCCCGCAGTTCCAGGCGCGCGGCTGCAGTTGCGTTTTGCGCCGCCCTTTCTCTGGGCGCGGGCTCCCGCATTTCGGGATCACGTGACCAATTTCTGCTGTTAGTTTCGTGTTTGTTTTCGTATGGCCGCAATACCTATTTTTGAGTTATTTTTTTGTTATCTCGGACTTTTCGCGGCGTAGAGCCCTCAGCAGGGCATCCAACATCATAATATTATTGTTGTTGTTGAACTCTCATTTTCAGAATAATTATTGTTGATCCCCCCTCACCGGTGTATGCTGTTTTTCTCAATTCAAATGTGTCCCTCGACGCTCGCATCCGTTTTTGACAGGGAAAGTCTTGGTGCCCAAACTGTGTCCCTGGCCCCCCCGGGTTACAACAACAACAACAACAACAACGGCTCCCGCCTGAGTCTTCCGACTTTACTCAGGACCCCCGCTCCCGCCGGAGACTTTCTCACACTTTACTCAGGATCGGTGCTCCCGCTTGTGACCGCTTCGCAATTTAGTCGGGACCCCCGCTCCCATCTCAGACATCCTCACATTTTACTCAGGAGCGGCGCTCCCGCTTGAGATTCGTTTCAACTAGAGAACTTTAATCAAGACCCCCGCTCCCGCCAGAGAGCCCCTCTCATTTTATTCAAGAGTTACGCTTTCGCCTTTGATTCCCGTGCAATTTATCCAGAAATCGCGCTTTCCACTGTCAGGAAACACGCTGCGCCAAGGACGCCGTCACAATTTACATAGGAATCGCCTTTTCGCTATATTTAGGCATCCCACTTGAATGTCCCACCCGCCCGACCCGCCCGTCAGGGGATCGCCCGCCCGTCGTGGGTTTTCGCCCGAAGCTTCCTTCAGGAACGGCGCTTTCGCTTAGGACTCCCTCGAACGTTCACGCTGTTACCTTCCTGGTCGTCCTCCCTCTCCCTCATCCCTCCTCTCTCCTCTCCTCCCTTCTCTCTCCCTCCTCCCTTCCTCATCCTTATGCCTCTCTGCCCTATCCCCTCTCCGTCCTCCCTTCTCCCTCCCCTCTCCTGCCTCCTCCGTTTTTGTTGTTGTTGTTGTTGTTGTTGTTGTTGTTGTTGTTGTTGTTGTTGTTGTTGTTGTTGTTGTTGTTGTTGTTGTTATTGTTGTTGTTTTTGTTGTTGTTGATGTTGATGTTGTTGTTGTTGTTGTTGTTGTTGTTGTTGTTGTTGTTGTTGTTGTTGTTGTTGTTGTTGTTGTTGTTGTTGTTGTTTTCTCTTTCGCTCTCTTTCCCCCCTCTCTCTACCTCTCTTAACTGTCTTTCGCTCTCTCTCTCTCTCTCTTTTTCTTTTTCTGCCTCGAATCAACCGCCTCCCTCTTCGTTCCTTTTCTCCTGGCGTTTTCCCTCTTCCTTCGTCCCTCACTCTCCGTTCCTTCCACTTTTTCTCGTTCTCCCCCTCCTCTTTTTGCAGGGCCCACACCAATTCTAATGGCGGGCGCATGTACGCCAACGAAGGATTGTCCGCCCGTTCAGGTTTGCCCCCCTGTCCAAGGCCGCCGCCCCCCGCAAAGAGCAACAATTCCCCAAATGGTGTGGGTTCGAATGCAAACAGGGCGGCGGGTATCGAGGGCGTGGGGGGCTCGTTTTGAATGACACACGGGCAAGTGAGAGCGAACAGTCTGATAATGATTGTTGTTGTTGGTGGTGTTTTTTTGTGTTGTTATGGTTGTTGTTGTGGTTGTTGCTGTTACTGTTGTTGTTGTTGTGGTTGTGGTTGTGCTTGTGGTTGTTGTTGTTGTTGTTTTCATTCTTATTCTTATTCTTATTATTGTTGTTGTTGTTGTTGTTGTTGTTGTTGTTGTTGTTGTTGTTGTTGTTGTTGTTTTTTGTTGTTGACCCCCCCTTCCGGCGTGTGTTTTTACCTAACAGCTTGTGCTGATAGGTTTCTAGTAGGGTCAAAAGAGAGCATCATGACACTCCAGGGGGGTCCGGGCGGAAACCGGCAGAAACCGGGAGAATCCGGCGGAGCTCATTCCGTGCGTGCAGGTACGCACGGGAGCCACCTCGGCGCCATCGGAGGTGCGTTCCGTGCGTGCAGGCACGCACGGGAGCCACCTCGGCGCCATCGGAGGTGCGTTCCGTGCGTGCAGGTACGCACGGGAGCCACCTCGGCACCATCGGAGGTGCGTTCCGTGCGTGCAGGTACGCACGGGAACCACCTCGGCGCCATCGGAGAAGCGTTCCGTGCGCGCAGGTACGCACGGGAGCCACCTCGGCGCCATCGGAGGTGAGTTCCGTGGGTGCAGGTGCGCACGGGAGCCACCTCGGCGCCATCGGAGGAGCGGCTGAGGCTGAGGCAGGCTGAGGCTGAGGCTGAGGCTGAGGCTGATGCAGGCTGAGGCCGCAGGAGTATGCGGGGGCGCAGCAGGCTGAGGCTGAGGCAGGCTGAGGCTGAGGCTGATGCAGGCTGAGGCTGAGGCAGGCTGAGGCCGAAGGGGTATGCGGGAGCGCAGCAGGCTGAGACTGACGCAGGCTGAGGCTGAGACTGAGGCTGATGCATGCTGAGGCCGAGGCAGGCTGAGCTGAAAAACCCCGGGCGAACCTCGAGGAGGGCGAGCTGGTGCTCCTCGGCCTAGCGAACTTCGCAAGAGCCCAGCTGGCGCGGCGTATGCCTGTGGAGGCGGCCCGGCGCATCCTCGCCTTCAGTAACCATCGCTGCCGATGGCACGAGGGGCAGTGCACCTTGGCGGAGTTCTGCGCGTACGTGGCGCGAGACGTGCTGGCGCGCGTGGACCTCGCGGCGGAGGCGCGGGTTAAGCCTCGGCCGGCAGCGGCTGCGCACCTGGAGGCGGAGGAGGACTCCGCGAGCGATGCCGAAGGGCCCAAGGGCCGGGTCCCGCTGGAGCTTGTTGACGTGGGCGGAGGCGGTGGCAGCGACGTAGAGGAGGAAGTTGAGGGCGCCGAAATTACCGAGATCTCCGTGTTTCCGCTGCGGGGCCACACCAGAGCAACCGAGCTTGCTCTGCAGCAGGACCAACTGCAGCGCTTGAGCCAGAAGAGTCGCCTCAGCTACGCGGATAAGCAGCTGAAGAACCTGGGCCGAGCGTGCGGCGGCTTGCTGCAGGCGAGCTTTGCGCAGCCAGCCAGCAGCGGCGCGCGGGGGCATCTGGGCGCGCGGCTGGGCGACAGCTTCTTTGACATGCTGGCCCTACGGCGGCAGAGCATATGCGCTCCAGAAGAAGCAAGCGAGTCCAGGTGGAGAGACTTCGCCCGATGTTGGGGGCGACTGGCAACCCAGTGGTGCTCCTCAGCCTGCTGCCGGGGGCGCGCAGCCGGAGTTCGTGCCGCAGCTCTTGGCCGTGCAGGACCCGGCGGCTGTTCGTGGAAGCTGGTCACTGATGCAGAGTGCGCGGGGGGGCAGATTGACGCGGTGGCGTTGTTCGCGCTGTCCCTGCAGAAACGTTTTGACGGCGGGCCAGACAAGACAGCGCATCTGCTCCCCGTGGTGTCCGCGACGGGCAACCACAGAGCAATCTGGCTCGGAGGAGGCGGCGTCGGCAAGACACGCACCCTCTC